CATTCACCACTTTGATTCATTTTTTTTTTTTTGCCCGAGCACGATAATAGAATCGAATGTATTATGTATTACTAATCACATGATAAAGGCCCGTGGTGCTGGTAATGCATGTAGATTCCAAAATGCTGCGCATGTACAAGAAAAGTCATTGCCTTTTTAACAGTGGCCTGAGGGAACGGGATTGTCCCTTAGCCTCCATAACCATTGACACAAAAGGTCCCCAAACAATTTCAAATTACTGCTTTATTTCTCTCTCTTATATAATCCACCCACATTATTAAATCTACCACCTTCTGGGACTGTACTGATACAATAATATTACAGTGCTAAGATGTTTACGATCGAGACCACTAGGTTTCCTTGTTATAAACATGTATGCCCTCAGGACTTGTACAATACGTATGCATACTACTTGGCCTAAATGAGGCGCGGGTCATTTTTTCTTTTAGGAGGGGTCAATATTACCTCAAGCGTGCGGGCTGAGGCCAACATCATAACCTGACTGAGCAGAAAATGACTCCTGATGCTCACAGATGACATCTATTATACATTAAACATGCTTGTAAATATTCACTAGTCAGACCATTCAAATGGAAAATATGGTTTAGGTCAAAGGTCTATGAAAATGTTGTCTCCAGAGGAAGTCCCCTTAGAATAGAGGCGATGATGATAACAGGGAGAAACACCCAAAGGGGACTGGGGAGAACATTAAGAGTTGTTTTACATGTTTGACTGTGGGACAGCAGTGATACCAGGGAGATAAATGATGGGCACTTATCACACTGGACTGGCCTAGAGTTATGTACCATGGCTAATGGAATGTAACACCGCCATCAATTACACACGGGCAAGAAGGATTACAATAAATTACTGTACGGTAAGTTTTTCTAAGTGATTACGTTCAAGCATTTTATTAGCATGAAAAATGAAAACAATTAGAGCGTACAAATATCAGGTGCTAACGTCGGCCCGTCCAGTCGCGAAAGAAAAAAGGGGAAGGCGAGAGAGAGGGGCGCGGAACAGTGCGTGGACATCAGTGTTATTAGCGGTTCGTCTCGCTGACAGGATCACATGGCTGGAAAATTATTTCATCATGTTCAAGTCCAACTCCGGGACTACAGTGTTATCTTCTATTTTTGTCCCTCTCTGCCGTATATTTCAGAGGCCAGGAACAATGTAGTCTGACAGACATATTCTTTATGAGGGGCTCGTGGTCTCTCTAATTTGACACAGTTGTCAGAGATAAAGCTCCTTAGAGAGTGTGGCCATGCTCTGGGTAAGAATGGGGATTAAATTAACACCCCCACCTTCACTTCCTGTGACCCCAATACTGCAGTATAAAACATACATGGTGATTCACTCCAACACCCGACATCTGCCTTCCAGCGTCATCACTGAATTTATGTATATATATATATATATAGATATAAAACTACACCTCCTCCTAATATAATTGGATTGCCCTGTTTTTTTGGTACAAAATTGGAATTTGCTTTTGATTCATATAATTTAAACACACACCACACACACACATATTTTCATACATAAAAAAAAATTAAGGTTAATTCTAAACATTGCCTTCAAAAACTAAGCAAACTCAAGCCCCCCTTTCATATTGAAGACAATTTGTCAGTGTAACGTGACACCTCACGCAGATTACACAGGGCGTAACAATCCACTCCCTCTCCCAGGTAGTTTCCTATCAAATGACCCGAGCATGCGAAATCAAATCAACACCAGAATGGATCATATCAAATTCTAATGAAAACATAATGTGCTCTTAAAATGTGTGTTGGCCCGGCAGCCAGTCAACCAGAGAGTCTCCCCCAGATGACGTGATGAATAGGGAACACCGATCGAATATGCATCAAAGTCGAGCTCATGATTTATGTAATAGCAGTCACTTGGACACTGATTAGCTGCTCTGTCAAGCGTGTAATACGAGAGGCACAACCCCTGGTTTATCAGTCATTTATCTGAAGTGCGTCCTGATATTATCACTGGATCCTAATGCCATCATTATGCTGCACAGCATGTGCGGGCCAGTGTGTCAGGGTGCTGGCGACACTGCCTGTCACGAGTTCAAGCCTCTTCATTTGCAAAGTGCTCAGACATTCATAGCACAATGTCAACAGTAAAATAGAGAAAACACATCATCGCCGAGATGGAGGGACAGAGGCACAGAGGTGCACTAAATAAGTGTGCACAGGAGGGTACGGGGAAATTTTGTCACATCTTAGTGGTTGCGGCTCACGATGACGAGGCTAATTCTTTCGAGAGGAGTGGAATAACAAAGTGTTGAAGAAGAAAAAGAATAAAATAACAGGCTACTTTTTGCTCCTCGTGTATAGTTTGATTTAGAGGAAGGGACCTGACACCAGGAGAACATCCTCCATGTTCACCGTGAGGCCCACAGAGCTGTTCCCACTGATTAAAATGCACACGTACACACACTCCAGTGTCGGAGCACGGTGGTCGTTCAGTCTGCCAGGACTGTGTTGCTCTCCCGGAGAATATCTGATATCAGACATGACTTCAGCCCCTCCCACACCAACATGAGAACACAATTTCAAACACAGGAAAAGAGACACAGGCAGAGAGAACATGAGTGAGCCGTGACAATCAAACGTTCACGTTACCGGATGGACAGAAATTTGCCAATAAACAATTTCTGTCTTCACGACAAAAGGGTTAGGGTTGTTATTCCCACAAACATCTGGTGCCATTCACTAAAAGGAAGCCGTGCGACATATAAGTCCATCAGCACCTAGCACAAACAAAAAAATTATGAGGGAAGCCGAACAGGAAAAAGAGGCTCTTTGAGTTTCAAACAAAAGATATCACCCCGGCTGCCAGCACGAACGGGGCACCGCACCTTTGCAGTGATGCTGCTCACAATCAAAGGAACAGGCGTCATCAGTGGAGCCGTGTTTTTAAAGGATATCTGAAAAAGGTTCAAAATATGTGACATTGTGGAAAACAATGAGTCTGAAGTCTACGCTGTACAAAGCTTGTCTTGTCATTGACACGTACGTCAGACCCACCAAAATAAGTCGTGTTTTTACAATAAATTGTTGTCATTCAGCCAAAATAATTTGTGCAAAATCCCCTTTGTTTACACAACTCAAAAAGCCTAAGAGTTCAATCATTTTTATATTATCTAAAAAAACCCACTATAACTAAAATTAAAGAATAATTTTAAACAATAAATAAATAAACAGTCGGTTTATGTTTTTAAAAAATAAATGTATTAAAGCAAAAGCAAACACGTCATTCGTGACTGGTTCATATGATAATGTCTGGCCACTGGTAGCAGGAGGACTTCTAACAGTGTGGCTCAGAAGATCCAGCAGAGGGGGCTGCTCACTGCAATCATATGCTGATTAATTGAGCTTGATTCTCCCCATGCTGAGAACATAAGTTGTCCCACACTGTAGGCTACATGTTGGTTTGTGGGTAAAGGTTAGAAGGCTTCCTGGAAGTCACCTTTTACCACAGGTAGCCCTTCATAGCATTTTTGATGAATATTAAGAAATCAGTGATTTTCTGATTATCCCCCATCAAGCAATATCAAACTAGGTTATGTTCATTTTTATTAATTGTGCATGTTGCTCTCTAATTAGCTAATGAGAGACAAAAAGCAGGTTTAGAGCAGAAAAATGCAAATGACGCTTAGAAAATAGCACAAAAAAAGTAAATGGCAAGGCTGAAAATCATTCTTCATTGAAATGTCAGAGATAAATGGCTCAAATGTCACATCAATTAAAACGGGGGACAGTTAGTAGTTCATTAAAGAGAGAGCCATATTGCACCGTCGGGTACCGTTGCCAACCCTTACTATCTGGGGCAGACTGGCAGCGGGTCCAGATGGCATGGAAATCCTCACAGATTTCAAAATGGTCTCTGCAGGGGTGGCGTTTTCTCCCCCACTCCCACCCTCACCGCTGAGATGGGGTGTGGGCCACAGGCCCACGTCGGCCTACACATTCCAAATGGAGGAAAGAAGAGAGCTGATGGCAGGGCAGAAATAAAAATAAATAAATAAAGCAGCAGAGGACAACAGATACTGCTGAACATTACAGATGATGCCACACACTCTCCTGTCTGTCGCACTGACAGAAATATATGCTTGCACTAATTCTGGGATTGCTCCAGGCAACGTAAGGCAACTCCCTTCCCTTTAAAGTGCATTAAAGTCTTATTAAGAGATTGTGCACTGACTCATGTGCTGGTCATACTAACATGCTGACTGTATTAGCTGCTAAGACTCCAGATATTGTCTTCACAGGTGCATGTTATCTGCAAACATTATGTCCTGAATACTTAAGACCATGATGAGACGATGTCTCTGGAGATGTGGAATAGGATAAGTGTCTTTGCAGCTGTGTTGTCATCATCGTTGGAGTCCAAGTCGAGCCCACCGTGGAGGAGTTCAAGTCAAAGTACAATAAAAGTTTTAAATATTATATTATATTACATTATATTATATAATAGTTCAGCTAATACATTTATTTTTAAAAAATGTATAATATGAGTCCTTTATTTAAGGACTCAAAGTACTGGAGTAAATTAGATCAATTTATTACAAGTGTAAAATGTATGAAAACATATTTCACATCCAAGTTATATAGACAAAAGAACACTTTAATAATATTTTCTCAAGTTTTTTTTTATAAATGTATACTTCCCTAAAAGAAGCAATTGTTGTATTTGTTTCCCAAAATTCGTTTTTCCTCACATTACCCCAGCAGCATGTCTTTCCTACTGAGGCCACACTGTTATTGTGTCGTTTTCACATTAGCCCACAGTAAACAAACCTAAACCCGTTTCTCTTTCCGAATAAACATTACATATTTGAGCAACACTGGTATGGTTTTCATTTTTAATTTTTCTTATTTTTTTTAATCCCACATCTTCAACGTATGTTTTATTTTCAGCGTGTCCCTGCCCGGGGGAGGGGCGAAGACTTTATTAACCAATTACAGAAAGAGAGCGGACTTTTACTTTAACGTGATTTGTCAGTTTGACCAGGCGCGTTTGTTGAACCAGGAAGTAACTTCCTGAGACGTTTACCGCGCGGAAAGTAAGAAACATTCACCGTACCAGCGTCGCACGGACGGAATAAGCCTTTATCGTAAGGTACTAAACAAGTTTAAAGTCTTTATTTGCAAACCATATTTAAGAATTATCAACATTACTCCTTCTATCGAGAGCTTTTTATTGCCAAGTTGTTTTGCCTTGCACTTTATATACATATATATATAATGTCCTTACGTTTTGCTTTTAAATATTAACGGTGTTTTAAATGCACGCTACGCTAAATGGAGCTAAATGAGTAATATTTCCCATATCGTAGGGTTTTATTTTAGTTTTATTTAAATAAAAACACACACAACAAGGACACATGTTGCATTTTCACACCTGCACCGTCTGGTTGCTCTTTCTACCCAATTAATCACGCAGGTTTGACCAGGAACTGGTCTAATGAGAAACGAGTCCGATGATTGACGAGCAGCAGGACGCTGCCAGTGATTTTTAACAGCACGAGCCGCTTATTGTTTGTTTGTTCCACACCATGAAGAGCAGGCTGCACCCCCAGCTAGTCAAGTAGTCACTTATTGGAGCGGCACACTGCACCAAAGACGGCGACCAAGTAAACATGATAGCATTATTTTTAATCAGTGAAGACTATTAACCAGGGCCATTATTGCCAAAGTCCATTATTCTATCTGTGAGTCTATTAGCAGCTTGCTAAATGGCGAGACAGTGAGTGTGTTGAGCGCTTATCCAAAGTGCACTGTACCATTGTTTGGCTCAGAAATTTCTCGCCTTTATTGTCAGTGCAGGGAAACCCCTGATGAATACAGTGAGAGAGCTGCAAGACTCGAAACAAGAAAGTTGAAGGAGACGCATTTGTGATCGCACACCATGACAGCTGTGTGTGTGTGTGTGCGCGCGCGTGTGTGCGTATGCGCGCGTGTGTGTGCAAAAGAGGGGGAGGAATGAAAGTCTGAAGGAAAACTGTACATGCATAATTACTTTTTATACCACTCATCCCTAATTTAATCCAAGACTCTACATTTGCGTTTTTAAATTAAGGGTATAGATCACATTAAGCGTCATTTTTAAAAGAAATATTTAATTCCTTCAACACTGCACTACTAGTCTTTAGAAATCATTCCATGATACTTATCTGGATGAAGAACACCTCTCCTGGGAAAACCGGTATATGATAATATTTTCAAAATGTCCTCGTTGATTATCAGAAAAGACAGAAGTTATGACAATCAATGAATCACATCTTATTACATCTTTAAATCAGTTAACATCTAAACCCTGATAGGTTTGAAACATCATGGCAGTTTTAATCAATTTGACTAAATGTAAGAAAAATAAATATCAGCTGTCATTATTGATTATCAATTCTTTAAATCAGGGATTTACTTGTAGTATTTTTTTTTCATTAGAAGTGCAAGTCATTTGTTGGGTAATTTAATGTGCACAATGGAATTTGAAATATATTAGTCTGATTTACGAAGTCTACTAAGTAAGATACTTTCCTTTGTTATATAACAATAGTTTTTTAAAAGACCATTTTAAATTACATCTTTTAAAATGGCGAAATCATATTATTTAAAAGAAAGTGGATTAATTAATAATAATAGTAAAGGGACGTGGATTTCCCTAGTACCTCATAAATGTCTGTTAAAAATGAATAGATGTGTAGAACAACCGTCGTCATAAACAAACAAACCAAAATAATAATAATAATAATAAAAAAATGTGTAAACCACTTTTCAGATCAAGGTTCCTTGAAGAAAAGGTTTCTTCGGTTTGAAACTCTTACAATCAATGTGACCTTTATTTATTATAACCCTCATATCTCAAAAACTCACATATAACATAGTCAATCATCTTTCCTTCCCTCAAAGTAAAAATAAAAAAGGAACTGCTGTCTGGTTATTGCCAGTATCCATCTCAGTCGTCAGAAAAGCTGCACGTTTTTGCTGTTGTTAAGGGCTGGAAACCAGAATCCCATCGGAGTTGCACCCTAAGGAACAAATTTAATGCTAGAAAAACATCCCGGCCATCAACCAAAAATGACGGATTGAAAATAATGTCGAGCTATCTTGGGAATCCCCCACCAGACAAGGGAACAGACTGCATTGTTTTTCTCATTTATGTGATATATAGAACAGAAAGAGGGGGAAAAATGGGCGATTTATTGGTTAGATAGGCGTATTCTTTTCCATGCACAAAAGAAATATTGGATAGTAATGTAGGGATCAAGTCACATCATGACATTGTTTGGAGGCTAGGTGTTCAAATATGTAAGTCATCATCTGTTGTGGCCCGCTAGATTTTCAATACATCACTCCATGCAAATATGGGTGGGAAATTGTGAAAGTTGCCACATGAATATGTCAATGAACGCGGTATAATTTGTGCTTCCTTAGCAGGGCAGTGAGATGAAGAAGCAGAGGGAGAGCCAGTGCACTCAGAAGACCATCTCATTGCTGAGCCCCCTGGGGACGATCCAAGTCAGCGGATGTGAGAATGGTGTGCACACCATCCAGATCCTAATGGATGTCGCACCTGCTGAAAGGTACTGTACAACAGCCAGGCTGGTGACGTGATAAACAAAGGTGTGAAATTTACAGGCAGACAGAATCCACTCCTGTGATGGAGTGCCACCATTCCTCATTGGAAGCAGGGCATTTTTGTAGATCCCACAAGAAATATCCTGGAGAAAGTTGGGCAAATATGAGCAGGCACTAGAAATATGAGGGGCACTAGAATACAGTTGGGCTGGAAATTAGATTTCTGATGGCATGTGGTTGTGATTCTTCCTGCAGTATATTTGAAATTTTCAGAAAAATAACTTGTTATTACCCACGAGGGAGTTGATTAGAGCTGATGTCTGTGGGGTCAGCAAAGGCCAGGGGGAGCATGGACTGTCCCCCCCCCCCTGTTTATTTATGTTTCCTTCCCAGTTGATTGCGGCAGTTTTGAGTGTCAACAGACACTCAGAGATGTAATATGTAATTGCGTTTCATGCCTTACCCATCCCTCAAAATTGTTATAATGCTGACAGTCTTACTGAAGCGAATCAAACTGATTACACCCGGCATTAATAAGTACTTATTCCTTATTTTTACAAGTCCACACCCTACATCTCAGATTAGTTTTGATTAGATTGAAATTAAATATCCATGTTTTGCAGATTTGCATTTGATAACCTTGAATGGTTTGGGAAATTAAACCATTTTCCAATGCACCCAGATAGGAAGTTATCCTTTTAAAAATGTATGTTGAAATTCTAATTTATGGAAACCCATTAATGACCTTGTATATTATACCTCAACATGTGTTTCCTTCTCCACTGTCTGTTATTTCCTAAAATTTATGAAGCAGTAAAAAATTCCACTTGCTAATGAGTTGAAGTGGGAAAATTAATAATATGGAATTTTGATTATGGAGGATGTCCTGTAACCATGCGCGGGCACCTTTTTTTTCCCCGTCTCCTTGTGAACAGGGTTTAATTTGTGTGTTCAGGTTCAGTAGGAAAATGCAAATGAATTTAATGATTCGCATCACTAGATCATTTCTCCGTTTAATATTATTTGCGGTGTCGGTCATAAATGAGGCTTTGATCTCATCGCCATCTGTATGGAACTGAGAAAACCACAAAAACCAGATGTTTAGATTTTTATCACATCCAGTTGAATAAAATGGCATTGTTGTAGAAACTGGGGAGGGGAGTGTGGGGGGGGGGGGGGGGGGGGGGGGGGGGGGTTGTGTGAAGCTGCCTCAGATATATGGAGTAACGCAATGTAAACAGGCATTAAGGGAGGTGAGATAAAGTGACAAAATATAGGCTTATCTTCGCAACTGGCTTTACATGTAGATCTCAGCAAAGCCCGTCTGTAGCAGTAATAGTTCAGATGAGCCATTTCCATTGATTTATTTATGACATACTAAACAAGGCTCTGCTCAGCTTCGGCTGTGTTGTGGTACAGGCTTAGGGAGTCAGCCTGATAAATGATCTCTAAGACCATATTTTGGATAAGGGAGGAAGATGAAATCTATGCATAACACAGCAGATGTTTTCCAGCCAGACAGCCGTTTGAACGCCTAAATGATTGTGTTTGTTTATCAGAATTCACTCTCGACTGCGTCTGAGCAGCCACAGCAGCCACAGCAGCATTTGTGGCATTGATAGATAGCTATTGATGAATGCTATTATAGCTACATAAACGCCCTTGAAGTATTGCTTACGCACCATGACCGTCAGCTCTTTCTAATAGAAACGTCTCGAGCCCCTCTTGCTTCCTAACTGATCTTAGGAACATTTCCTAAAATCAACCTCCTCTGCCAGTCTAACGACAGCCCTGAAGGCACCATCAGATGAACAAATTCATTACATCTCAACAACCCCTGTTGGGGCCCTACGCACCAGCCGCCCAGTTAAACGGCGTCTCCCCTTTTTTTTTTTTTTTTTTTACTTTCTGGCACAAGTTCAGCAGTTGCGGGAAAATGATATGCATTTTGTTTTGAGGAGATTTTTTTTAATCTGAATTATTATACAGCTTGTCTGTTTATACCCAGCGCAGCCGCATAATGCAGAAAGAAATCGTTGAATCACTTTTTTTATTAGGGTGAAAAATGAAAAAAAAGAGGGCTGGACTCCTGCCCCGAGACATTTTGTGAGCATATTATTTTACAATGCTTTGATCAATTTGTCTGTCAAGCTGGCTGAGATGTGGGGGAGCAGGAAAAAAGCAATTTAGCTTGTGAGGTCCTCAATAGAAATGTACTACAGAAGCCTGTGTATGACATGTTGCATTAGAACCTGAGTAGTCTTTATTGCTTGATAATGTCGCGAGGCAATGCTGATATCAATCACCCTTTAACAGCCGCTGTGATATATTTTTATGAAAAGGAAAATAATGCAGCGGGTGTTTCTAGGAAAAATAATTGACATAATTCTGAGCAGCAGGATTTATACTTCAAACATAAAAAAAAAAATGTTATAAAAAACACACACACACACACTCCAAAGTGAAGTTAAAATTGTGTAGAACCGGCTCTCTGCATGTGCCTCTATAGAAAATTGTAATTAATTTTACACGAATAAACATTCAGTCTCATTTGCATATAAATATAAACAATATATTTTTGCATTTGAATTCCCAGCACACTCCAGTCACATGATCTGCTTAGAATCCTAAGTGGCTAAAAACCAAAAATTATCTTTATACCTCCTAGGCCATAAATCCGCCTTTTTTTCTCCGACACAAAGCCTTATAAATCTGCGTCTGATTTTTTGCACATTGCACATTGTTTTTAGTTAATGATTTTCATCTGTTTGTTGTCGCTGTGATAGCGGGGAAATGTACCATATGCTCCGGCAAAAGACAAATGATTAGCAAATGAAATTCTGGACAGCTGTCTGACTGAAAGTGTTTGGTTGATAGCATTCTGCTACCATAATTAGCTTAAGCTTTGGGTTAATTAACTTTCTACCTGGATATGCATAATAATAGCATTCTGCAGAAAGCCAAGGAGCTTTCAGTATATCAGCAGCACGGGCTGGCGTTTTATTTTGTATTTCAGCGGCATATTTTAATTTCAAGGGGCGACTTAGCTCGGGAGCATCGTCAAATATTGTAGATCTGACTCCTCAAGCCAGATAATTCTGAAACAATAGGGGTGTATTATGTGGCAGAAATGCCATTTCTGAATGTAATTAAAGCGGATGAAAGCAATCACCGATTTTTAAACGCTTTTGTCTAGCGTAGG